AAATTTTACTTTTTCTTGTTTCATAGACATTGACGAATGTGATGATGAATCTGATCCCTCTTACGATTGCAATGAGAACGTAACCTGCACATATACACCCGAATCTTATACCTGTGTTTGTAAGGAAGGTTTTGGTGGAGATGAATTTGATTGCATAAGTTAGTAAATTAACCAAACAAATTTCCCAAAATTATTTAAAACGACACAATATACATCATTGTCTCAATATTAAGCCACGCATAGGTTGAATTAGGATTAGCATAACGGTGTGGGCAACGGTTTGGACCATCATTAGAATTGCAATTTTCATACGATAATTTATCCGAACTATTTTATCCATACGAAAAAGCATTTCTGAATTTCCAACGTTTTGCAAACGAGAAAACGGCAAGTTGTTCGCTTTTTACAGCCTTTATACACGATTAAAAACACAATGATAATACTCTCACAAATTGTATACAGGTTAGCAAATGAAGTCTTAAAATTTAAAACGTTTAAAAAAAATTTTTTCAAAAAATAATCGGCCGAAAGGGCAAAGTTAAAAACATAAACAAAATAAAAAATATTAAAAATATCCGAAAATTAGCAAAGTATATATGAATTCAGACCTTGTGTACCGGGTGTCCCAAAAAAAGTACTCCAGTTTGATTCCTAATAACTTCTAAACAAGTAAAGCTTTTAAATAGAGCATCCAATAGAGGAAGGACCAACTTAGATTTTGATATATTACAGTTGTATTTCACTTAAAAATTCTCGGAGATATTAATGTTTAAAATCGGGAGCATATTACTGGATGTGTCTGAAATATGCAAAAAACGGCGTATCAAATATTAATCAACATTTGCCCGACTGAAACATACACTATTACCAGTAAATAAATGACACCTGACAAATTGTTTATTATGAAACAAAGTATTATTATCTGCAAAATACAAACAAGATTTATTCTTCCGAAATCCGCATGTGTTCCTAGCACGAATATATACGTTTCCTTATTTCATGAGACCACTGCATCGCGAAGAATCGTCATGGATCGTCGTTCGTAGTTCATAGTCGTTCGTAGTTCAGAATTAGGGCATGCTGTCACAATGGAATTGTGAAGCTCTTCTAACTTCTGCAACGTTCTGAAATCCTGTTAAGAACACCCAAACTCTTTTGCCTTTTCTTAATCTTGGCAAGTTCAGAATAAACTGAGAATGAAACACAATCAAACCAAACAACTCCATAAGACATAACAAGCAACTCCCCAGAGACATCCAACGTTGTTGGAACAAAACGTATAACAAAGTAGTAGCGTTGATACTGTGATGCATGTGTATTTGCAAAAAGCAATATTATTTCCTTCATTAAAGAATAATATTCATCCTGCTCTAACCGAGAAATAATCAACTCTGTTTTGAACCCATGAAAAACGTTAAAAAAATTAGGCTATTTAAGAAAAATTTAAGCGTCTGCCTTGCAAGGTTTTTATGTACCTTTAAGTTTGTAAAGACCTATTAAATACTTCCATAATTTCGAGCGTTCATATTTCAGGAAACAATGAGCTAAGGTTTACATGTAAGATGTTTAAATCTACGCCATATCCCTTACAAATCCTAACGTTATTTCTGTTTGATAGCTTTACTTGTTTAGAAGTTATTATAAATCAAACCGGAGTATTTTTTATATATATATTATTATATAATAACTGTTTATTATATACCGGGCGTCCCCAAAAAATTACTCCAGTTTGATTTACAATAACTTCTAAACAAGTAAAGCTTTCAAACAGAAATAACTTGAATTAAATAGAGGAAGGGCTAACTTAGATTTTGATATATTACAGTTGTATTTTACTTAAAAATTATATATATATTTAAAAAATTCATTAATAATTCAGGAGCAAAACACAAAGAAAAATCATAAGCGTGTCGTGGTTTTATATGTGATAAAAAATCACGTTAATTTACATAAAATTTAGCTTTGATTTTCTCGGTTTAGACAAAGTTTATTTTAAAAATTACTTCGCCAATAAACTCGTATAAGATGAGTCGTTTTTTAAGCTATTTAAAGCACTTGTAGTCGTGTTTTATCACATATAAAACACTCCGCTACGCGTCGTGTTTTATATGTGATAAAACATTTCTACGCGTGCTTTAAATAGTACAGCAAGAGATAGCTTTCCTTGTTGTTTCGTGAAATAAAGTTCATATGAAGTAATTCAATTTTGTCTTCTAATCTTATCAGCTCTACTACGGTATTGAGCACTCTACTCATATATGATTCCAAACTCGATACTTGTCTATATATATATATATATATATATATATATATATATATATATATATATATATATATATATATATATATATATATATATATAATTTCTGAGATGATAGTCATTATCATTATTGCTTCGTGCAAAAAAGAATTCTCGAAGACAGGGGGCAGTACCATTATTAAGAATGTTGTATACCAGAACCACTTTATTAAATCTAAATCTGTTTTCAAGATTTTTCCAGTTAAGCCGTTCAAGGAGCTCAGAGGAGCTCATGGATATATATATATATATATATATATAGTTCCATCATTCAATTATCACAAGCAAGCTATATTAATATAGAGCGGGAAAATTTACAGTTCACTTTACAATTTGGTTTACCTAAGTAATAGACATCCCTCCGATAGTTTGGTACAAAGAAACATTAACATTGTCAATTTTGTGACGGAACTATCAGATATTGAGGCATCCTTTTATTCACCCGCCCATAGGTTGCCCAATACCTATGCGTGTTAAACATTTAACTAAAATTATTCAAACATTTGATGAAACTGTTTCACAAGACAAAATGTTTAGATAATTCATTTCTGTAGTTTTGGTTGCGTGCTACGGGCCATGTCACTCACTGTATACTATTAAGTTATGTTTATTCCCTACTAAAGGCTAATTGAATGGAATGACATTACAATTCGGACATTTTAAAGGATAGAGCAATATCATTCTGATCATCTAGGAATTGAAAATGGAAAAATAATTTAATTTTTCATTTTTTAAACGAATGAAAAATTGTTTTTATCAAAAATAAACCGATTTTCATGTTTCAAAATTGTAAAGAAATGAATGACCCTATAATACCCACGAATTGAAGAAGTGTTAGATTTTTACTTTTGTCACTTATGAACATCTCTTCATTTAGACATTGACGAATGTTATGCGGGAACTCATAATTGTCATGCTAATGCGACCTGTACTGATACAGTTGGTTCCTATACCTGCGCATGTTTTGCAGGTTTCACTGGAAATGGGACATACTGTGAAGGTAGGAGAAAAACTGACTTCCTTTATTAAAATTAAAGGAGAGGTGCTTACAAGGCTTGCGAAATCATGGTTTGACATGGCTAGTGCTTGGATGGCTAGTGCTTGAGCCATTTTACAAGACTTTCGATTTTTGTTAAACGTTTTCCTCTGCGAAATCAACTTTCAAATGGACTGGTATTTAATTGACGTTATTCAATTGAAACGATAGTTTTCCAGCGTGGGTTTTAGAATATTGTTTCCCGGCCAAAACCAAGTCTTTCTTGTATCAGTGGGTTTTAGTTTTTAATGTGATCCTTCACATGGTGATCAATCAGCATTAAGAGTCAACATGCCAACTGTATCGGTCTCCCATCCTTGTTACAATAATTACATAAACACTTAAGGAGGCTCCCTATAGCAGCATGCGGGATGTTCGCGGGATCAGTGCGTGGACTATCCCACGCAACCGCACGAACAAAACAAAACAAAAATTGACCCATGCCATTAAAAGCTATATCATTAGAAGCTATGTCATTAGAAGCCATGCCATTAAAAGCTGTATCATTAGAAGCTATGTCATTAGAAGCTATGTCTTTAGAAGCTGTGTCATTAGAAGCCATGTCATAAGAAACTGTGTCATTAGAAGCCATGCCATTAAAAGCTATATCATTAGAAGCCATGTCATTGAAAGCTATATAATTAGAAGCCATGTCATTAGAAGCTGTGTCATTGGAAACTATGCCATTAGAAGTCATTACCTCGGGTCGGTACGACACCGAGGTCATAAATTCGGCTCCTATTTTTAGTGTGAAGTGTTGAGTTCAATATAAAACTGTATGTTATCCAAATATTAGTATGACGTAATACTGAGAGACAAATACATGATGGGATTGTTGTGTTGTTAGTTGAACTCCCTCATGAAAGTGACTTACTGTACAAAAACTACATTTGTAATAAACGTGAAAATAAAGAGTGATTTCATTACAAAAACGGTGTTCTAAAGTCATAGCTTCATCAGAGTATATACATGCAGCAATTCTGCATATGATACGATTATATATCTCCAGGCCAAAAACTAGCTACGAAGTGATGTTTTTTAATTTTTTAAAACATACACTATCAAGTATCAACTGTAAAACATTTGCCAAATTACACACAAACTTTTAATAAACATTTAAAAGGTTTTTTAGAAATACTCTCGTGTTTCTACAAGATACCACAGTTTCATAGCCTTTTTCATGTTTAGCAAAAGTGCAAAACCAAACAAAAAAACACGTCCACCTGTTAGGCTGTTACGGCTTATAGTTTGAGTAAACGGCTGGGCTCAATAATTAGCTTCAACTTTAGAGGTTTTGTCCTTTCATCAATTTGATCGTTCTCGATATTCCATAGCTGTCTATGACACTCGATTGAATCGAACAGTTGACAAAAACAAAATAGTACAAAACTAGAGGGCACTCAGAGACTGCATACCTCCGCCCGCTACTGACTGACTTGGAAGTAAAAAAAGCGCAAACTATTGAAGTAATCTATTGTTGTTAGAATTTGAATGGCCTGCTGTTTGCGGTTCTTTCTATTTTATGAGTTCGAGTTGATAAAATCGAGTTATGAGTTCGAGTTCAAAAATCGAGTTAGCATTTTTGTCAGCGGTAACACAAAATAATATATGTTAATTACCCTAAATATGCCAAATTATTCACCGGCCCATGTGCTTCTTTGCAAAATGGCGGAAAATCATTCGAGTTGTCCTTCGGCTTCGAAACAGGTATGAAATTAGCATATGTTAATACAATTATTTAATGGTTTTTCTTTTGTAATTGTATTAAAATATTCTTTTAATAACAACGAATCATATTTTATTCATTGAAAGGTCATTGATGTTGAAGCAAATGCCACAGAAAGGTATAGTATTAAAAAATATGTCTTTAAAATTTCAGTGTTTTCAATGATGTTTTATATACGCCACCGTACTTTTTTATTTATAGGTTTACTATACTTATATATCTCAGATAATTTATCGTTTTATATTTACGTAGAAGTTATGCAGAGGTGGTAAAAACGGAGAAAAAAACGCTCATTTACATAGTGGATTCTGATGAGGATGACGATGGAGTACAACAGTCAAGAGACACGGTTAATTTGCGTATGGAAAGCAAAGAGCATGTAATTGAGAACTTTGGGAAGGTAAATTTATGCTTATAACTAAATTTGTAATGTATCTTAAAGTATTTTTAAAGTCCTTTCATATTTATCGTTATGCACCTATCAATGTTAACCCCCAGAGGGGGTCGGGCATATGTGGGGTATTTAATCATCAATTGCATCCCCACCATGGGGATTTTGATCAGCATTTTGGCCCCGAATTGGGGCAATTTGAAGCGAATGACATTTATTTGCAAAATGGTGGGGCATTTGAGTTTGACCAATATTTATTGCCTGACGGTGGGGCATTTGATTGAAAATTTGCTCAAAAAATCAAATACCCCACCCATGCCCGACCCCTCCCCCCTCTAGGGCTTAACATTGATAGGTGCATTAGTTTTTGGCAAACGCCAAAGGCGTGAGACTGACTAGGGGTGTCCAGGGGCATTCCCCCGGAAAATGTTTTGAAATATAGAGCCACTGAAATTCGATTTAAAGCATTTTTGGGATGTAATCTTGCATAATTCCCAATCTTATAAAGTGCATCGAAGGCATTTATTTTCCCTGACATTTCACCTTGCAATTAAATAAATTGAAAAAGTCACCTTCAAAAACAGGAGGAGTGATCGAAGTGACCATGTTTCCCCTTTTTGATGCTGGGGGGGGGGGGAGAAGAAAATCCCAATGTGATTTTGATCAGAAAAGTTGCATTTAAATAAATTTTAGGTTATGATTTATTGATATAAATTCTAGGTTATGATAAATTCTAGGGTATGGCATGTAACATGTACCCTCTAGCCTCCCCCCCTGGCTACGCCACTGCCGATACATTTAGTGTTATTTGTTTTACAAGGCCAATTCTAAAATCAAAAGGAAACTAGATGAATTTGAATGGTGGGATGAAGAGTTGTACAACCCTGGCGCCCCAGTATTGCCTCTTGGTCTGTCTGGAAGTCCAAGAACTAAAGTATGTACTGTACATATAAAAATGTAAAAAATTCCACAACTTTTTAATTATTTGTTTGCCTTGTTTGTTTAAAAAGGTGTTTCTCACATCCTGCTACATTTTATGGTTTTATATATAGTTTTAGATTTCAATTGTAGAATATGTAATTATACATACACCAGCATCATGTAATATTGCCGATTGAGGAAATATTGTGTGAGCTTAGAATTAAAACTCTTTTTTGTAGTGTAGTGAAGATAGCAAAAATTTCAAGGGCGAAAGCAGTAAAAGCAAGGATTACAAATAAGGCACGCGAATTTACCGATGTAGAAACGTTGTCAAAGTTAAAAAGTGCTATGAAGAAACAAATGAATCCGCATGGATACAGTTTCGACGCTGTTACTAAACTACGAGAAAAGACCAGAGAAAAGGATCGTTTAATATATTCGTTTAATAATAGAGAAATGAATCCATCCAATCCTACGTATGTTTTTAAAACAAGCACAGTTTCACTAAATATTGCTTTGAACATGCAGCAGTCTGCAGATCATTTTATGCGAGAAGAGTACTGCTACTTTGACGGTACTCATTCTCGTTGTCATGGACTTAAGACACTGGCATTGTGGACTTATCATCCTTTGCGGCGTAAACTTGTAAAACTTGTCACAATGGATTGCGAAAGAGAAAACCAAGAATGCATTTCGCTTTTTTGGAAGCTGTGGAATGATGCCTTTTCGGAGATTTCCAAGAATCCTGCCTACACATTTGACCCAAAAGGATGGTGCATGGATGAAGCAGGGGCTAACTGGTCCGCAATAGAGGAGGTATTCGGATCAGAGGCATTGTCTAAATGTAAATCTTGCGAATTTCATTTTAAAGATTGCAGAAACCGACACAGACGAGTGCTGTCGACACAAGAAGAAAAAGATAAGTTTACTGAGCTAACGGATCGAATGCTTTATGCCACCACCACTTCAACATATCAAAAAAATTTAATGGAACTTCTTAACTTTATTGATGAAGTTAGAAGACCTAACCTTAAGTCATGGGTTAACTGGTGGCATAGATAAAGAAGTCCGCTCAGCACACACAAGAACAAGGCGTCCTCAAGAATTTACCAGATCTTTGGAACTCGCTAAGCGTTATAGACTCTGCGTAACATCTGTCGATTACCGAACAGAGGTTAACTGCAGATTTGTTTGCAAATGCCATGACGATGACATAATTGTTACGATCGCACAGAAGCCAATATGCTTAAAAAATGGAGACATTTGTAAATACACCAGAAACGGGACACAAGTTTGCAGCCATATCTTATACGTATTGCTCAACAAGGTTGGACTAGAAGAAGATGATGGAAGACTCAACCAGATTGCGTATACAACTAGTGAATTAAAGTCCATGCTGGCTAAATTTGCAACCAAATCGCCGTCCCATGTATTAGTTGGTCAGGCATCAAGTGCCCCAGTACCGACTAAAAAGAGTAGCGAGTGGAAACTGCAAAGAATGCCACTCCAGGGTGGACCTAAGCCAAAATGTAAAGGCTGCAGCAAGCGCGTTTTTAAGACTGGTGAACTTTGTGTTGCTGTCATTGGGAAGTATACTCCTAAGCATAAGGATAAGGACGCCAACCACTTTCAAGTTGACGCAACATATCGTTATTGTCATAAGTTGTGTTGTATAGCAAAATCAAGTTTGCCTGCTCCCAAAAGAATCCTGCTTGACACTGACTTACAATTAACGCCGGAAGAACTGGACTCGTTGCAAAATTTACCTATTGTTTCTACGTGAATTGACAAATCTATATAATATGATCTCCTATATATAGAGACTATATACAGTAACGTTGTTGTTGAAGTTTGTTAAACCATTAGTATGCAGTGAGTGCTTTCGCGTCCTTCATCATCAATATACAAGGACAAATCGTATATATAGACCCAAATAAATTTTTGCTATTGTTAGAATGTCGTTTTCAATTTACGTGCACATACGGCCGTTTCTCTTAACGTTTATTCATGCTAATGAGTAACTTGCTTTCACAAATCAACGCATGCTCTTATTTCATTTCGCTTTTTATTTTAAGAAATGAAAATGTCCCCACGTTTGGCACTTGTAATCTCTCCCATTAGCTCTAAATCGTACGGTATGGTTTAAGAGGATCATGAACAATGCCATGCATGAGAAAAAGAGATGTTCACACATGCATACCCACAGAGGCATTTGGGGGACTTGTTTGGTTATAAGCTATTGGTGCAAAGAAATACGACAAGTTCTATAGAGCAACAATTGGCGCATAAAAAAAGTTATGTTTAAACACACCAAGTAAAATTTGATAGTCTGGAGTGCAAATTGGGAAATTTAAAATTAGTTTGGAATATAGTTTAGTTTTTAAAACGAACTCGCTCGTTTTTCGAACTCGTTTTTCGAACTCGATTTTCTAACTCGAACTCGATTTTCTAACTCGAACTCGATTTTGTAACTCGAACTCGATTTTATAACTCGAACTCGATTTTATAACTCAAACTCATAAAGAATACAAACTCCAATATATTGCCAACTGTTCTCAATTTCTAATGTCAAATTCTAGGCTGATTAATTAGTATATCTAATAAGATCACAATCAACTCATGTGTTTTTTACTTGCAAAGGAGAAATAACAGGGGTTTTAAATGAGGGAGGCGGGTGGGGGGCTTAAAAGAGAATTTTTGACAACTCATAAAGTTGCATAACTTCAAATAAATTATGAGAACATGTGTTACTTAAGTGGTACTAGGTCATTTCTTTGGGCTTTTTCTTTTCTTCACAGGTTCATCACTAACTCACATTTTCTCTGATATCAGGTGCAATGTCTCTTTGTGCAGCAATGGTGAGGTCATTGTAGCCAAACTGCTGGGATGTGGGATTGTCAGTCTGTCAGAGTGTCCACCTTTCGCTTGTTCATGACCAAAATAGTCCCCTAACCCATCTTACATAAACCTTTCGCTGAGAACATGAATCAGGAAACCCAACCAAGTTGTGATCAGATGTTGGGTCGACCAATGTACAACTGATTGAGTGTTCACATCTTCTGCCAAGAATACTTGTTAAAATGCATTCGGGCTTGAAATGAAGTTCACAGAGATAAACGTTGCTTGCTTCAATACGTTTCTTAAAGTCTGTAGTCAACACCGTGTCCTCAGGACTAAATTTGTCCATTCCTTTCACGCGTTTTCATTCAATTGTCAGGTTTGCTCGCTGTCGTCGGCACGAACGGACGGCAGTTTAAAGATTGAAAGCCCGTGCTTTCTGCTGCTTGAACAACCATAAAATGCACAGTTTTCGCTAGGCATGACATTTATCTTGCCATCCGACAAAAAATAGAATTGAAATAAAAAAACAACCGCTTTATATTGAAATTTCGAACGCAGGTTTTGTATACATTCTGTATATTCCTAATAAGCGATTGAGATCTGATGCAGGGAACGGACCACCTGACCCTTCAAAACAAGGTTGAATAACATAATTTGTCACGTGTTACAAGTAGCCTAACCAGTCTCCTTCGATTAACCGTGCACGAACTCAGACGTCCGACCTCAGCAACATTCTAATGTAAACAAAAGGCCATAAATAGTATCAAATTTCAAACGCTCTCAATTGTTCAAATCGCGTTTGCAGACGAGTTTTATTACGGTTTCTAATACTTCAAAGTGTCCTTTTTCCAACTATACTAGTCACTGTATGTAATTAGGTCCCACTTTTAAGAAATTCAGCGTAGAAAATAGTAGGATTTGAAAGCCGTATTTTGACACGGCGCTCTTTGTCACTAAACATTGTCACAAATGCTCTGTAATTGAAAACCTAAGTTAGTTTAGATGAAATTACGATCCGGTGATGATGTCCGGTGCTGGGTGTGAATATCAGAAATTTTGAACAAAAACTTTTGAAATTATGTTTATTTAAATTCAGCCCATTTTTTCGTTTAATTAGCCGGCGAATTTCTCCCGCGACGGTGCGAGACCAAAAAATCGCTAAAACTTTGAAACTAAATATATTTTGAAAATTCCAAACAGCATTTGTTTGTTGTTAAAGTAAATGTAGTTCACGGTAAAAGTTTCGCAGAAATTTATTTTTCGAGCCCCAAGTCAGTGGGTGGTTTTTAGAGACACACGCTCTTAACAGGGAACAATATCAACTAGTCATGCATGACTAAGTAAATTATTATACACATGAGCAGAAGCAATACTGTATAATATAAAGGTATACAGGAATACAATACAGTATACAAAACAATACACTATTTAGCCAACCTCGTTCCCAGGGCTTTTCTCTTTTTTTCATTGGGAAGGCGGGAAAAGGTCCTGGCATCGGCCGGTCTTCTATGTATTCTGATTGGTCAATGACAAGAACATTATTATTCAAATAATGCAATCTAGAATTAATTTATTCAAACTTTGGGATAAATTAACATTTTCACACAAGGAGTGTCCATTACTCCATTGTTAATACTTTGTCCGTCTAAGAAATATTTTTTGGCAAAATCTGTGCCAAAATGGCTAAATTTGATAAGATTTATACACAATTTGTCGAAGGTTAGTATTATTGATTGTTTCAAACTGTGAGAGAAGATTAATTGTGTACTAGAACACACCTTTGAGGCTCTGACCGAGTATTTAGGGCAAAATGTGCCTTCATTGAATCATTGGCTTCGTATAGCGTTAATGTTTATATTTATAAAACTAAAGTCTGGGTTTATAAACTGAAACATGACCTTTAGTTTTTGATGTTGTTCATAGTAAAGTTTAAATTGGCCTAATTTATAGTTACCACTAGAAATGCGACGATATTTTGTTATATCATATAATAATGCAACAGTGTTTACAACTTTTGAATATGTGATTTGGTTTTGTTTCAGATACTATTACATGTTGCTTCATTTTACCATAAATTGTAAAAAAGTGATTTGCTCATTTGGCTGATGTTACAGTTTTCTGATGTGTTTTGTTTGGATGAT